CCTGTGGTTTCTCTCTCCATTGCCAATCTTCCCTTTGTTAAGATAGAATGAGGGAGGAGGGGGTTCCTTCTCTTGGACTGGTGGGGACACAGGTGGGAGGCCTTCGGGGTCTGCAGTGGTAGGTCACGAAGGCCATCTGAAAATGACTGATCAGTGCCAGATGGTGCCAAGATTTCTGCACTGAGCTACTGGGTAGTTGGTGGCTCTTTGTGTAACGAGTGCAGAGAGCATCAAGAGTCAGGAAAAAGAACTAATAACACTTAACCTGACTGAGTCTTTTCTTGTGTAAATTACCCGAGGCTTCTGAGAAATGCGCCTACCCTAAATTAGATAACTAGAAGTGGGCAACAGCCTGGGAATGCCTGGGGATGTAACCCGTGATAAGTCACGTAGACATGCTTGGGTAAGCAAGAGATAACAATTGAAGCGGGCAGGCAACTGGCGCGTTCCCTAAAAAGGTTACAATGTTTCCCATTGGTTACAATATAGAGTGTGTTTTAAACCTATTAGTTGTAGAACTGCCCGGGCTTTGGTGTAACGGCTGTGAAGATCCTATATAATCAGTACCCAAAGTTGCTTCGGGTCGGCAGCTCGGACTCGGCCTGCGTGTCAGGGGAGGTGCTGTCGACCCCAGCTTGCTGGCTGAATAAAGACTTTGCTTGGATTTTCATCTCCGTGTCTGTGTGTCTTGTTCTCTGGGAAACCCCGGAGTCCTAGACCCTAACATTTGTATGAAAAATAGAGGAAGAGATGTATTTGGGGGGAAAGCAGTAAGCTAGACATCACATGTGTCTGGTCTGAGGGGCCAGTGTGACCTCCAGGTCAGAGTGTCCTATGCTCAACTGGACATCTGATGAGAAGCTCAAGAGAAAACCCTTCTCTGCAGATCCCATCACAACAGCAGCCTATGCCAGGTCCCAGAGCCCCTGCACGGAGCAAGTGTTTGTCAGCCCCAGGCCTGCCTAAAAGGCAGGCAGAGCCCAGAATCTTCTCTATCCTTGCCATGGGGCCCCATAATCAACGCAAAGTGCCTTCATTTTAATCCCCTCTGATCTCTACCCAGCCGTATTTACCCAGAAACATTCTGAATTTCTTATTTTGGCTCCTGGAGTTCACCTTGCCCACCAGCAACCCCCCACTGGTGGCCCCACCTTCGTGGCCAGGCCAACTGAGATCCACATGCACCGTGCCTGTGATGTCTCCCCACTGTGCCTCAGACCCTACGCCCCTTTCCTGGAACATCTCAGACTTTCCAACTCTTTTAATTATTACTTTTCTCTGATCATACTGAGATTACAGTTCCCAACCGGCCTGTCCTTGGGACCCTTAGGCCCTCCAATACCTGTCACTCAGGTGGGGCACCTCAGGACCTTTACTCTTGTTTATTCTGCCAGGAATGTTCTCACATTTGCATTGCTCAGTCCCTCCCTTCTCTCCTCCGCATCACTGCATCTGGGAGCCTCCCTTGGCTGCCCTGTGTGACTGGACACCTGGACATCTGTGTTGCTCATCTTGCTCTATTGTCCCTCATGGTGTTACTGTCACGTACTGTAATATTTTCCACTAGTGTTATTGTCCATTGTTTTTCTCCTCAACTAGAGCATGAGCCCAATGTGTACAGAGCATTAATTTGTTCTATTCATAGCCTCCCACCTTTACTTCGAAGGGCACCTGGCATGTAGCACGTGCTCCATAAATACTTGCCAAATAAGTGGATTCACTTCCAAAGTCTCTTTGCTTTCTATGTGCAATCAAGGGTCCTTAAAACATGCCTTTTACAGTGAAAGAAGGAAAAATAATTCTTCTACTCAAAATGACCACTTTCTCCTTCGTCTCCCAACTCCACACAGCCACTCTTGACAAATCATTTTCTCTTTGGGATGGTGCTCTTTGGTGGGAGAGTCAATTGGGTTGGCACATTTGACTTCTTGACTTCAGAGTGCTATGGACTCACATTCATTCACTCAAGCCAGAGAGGACTTCTGCTTCCACGCCAGGAAATTCTCAGGTGAGTTCCAGCAGAGGAAGCAGAGAAGCAGGGAGAAAGATGTTTGGTAGTTTATCAAGATTTTAATTCTAAGTTTATCTAAATAACTATTTTCTTAAGTGATGACAGCAATACATGTATGTTGCAGAAAATTTGAAAAATATAGAATTTTATTTTTTGGTTGATTCTGATAAACACAGAATGCTTCCCCCATTGAGGCATTATTTTAAGACCATTCATCATAACATTCACATCGTTGGTAGACACTATTATTATCTCATTTTTTTTCAGATGGGGATATTCAGGCACAGAGGATAAGTCACTGGCCTGAGATCAGGGGGCAGGGTGGGAGTTAAATCTAAATTCTGACCCCAGAATCTATGCTCTTAAATACTGTGAAAATAACATAACAGGTGAGCAATCATACCATTTTTGACATCTGGGTGTTTTTCTCTTTTTCAGGGCTTTTGTTTCTACCCTGTGTGTGTGTGTGTGTGTGTGTGTGTGTGTGTGTGCACGCGTGCATGTGTGTGTGTGTGTCTATAGGCATATTCTGGGTCATATTGTAGAGTGTTGTTTAGTTTGTAAGTAATTTCATAAAATATTATGTAATTAACATTTTTCTAAGTCATGAACTCCTTTTTTAGACTCTTTATGCCACTTACTCCTATACATATATCTTAGCTAATCTGACCAGCTCCGACTACTGAACATGCAGGTGCTCTGAGCTTCTCACCATCAGTAAGCCCCTGCACTCAGGAGCCCTCCATGAGAACCTTCCCAGGAAGAGCCTGTCTTTTGTAACCTTGAAAGACACCTTGACATCTGCTGCTCTGGTTCCCTGGGGCTACTGTGAGCAGAACAGGGCTTTGACTGGCATCACTGATGGCTTGTGCGTTTTTATTTCTGTGACACAGTTGCATCTGAGTCCGAGTATGGACGTCCAACATCACCAACCACAGTGCGGTCAGAACCACTTGTTCCCTTGACATCGTTGACCACACATTCAGGGCTTCCCACTCCATGCCCTGTGCTGCCCACCAGTGAGGGTGAGGAGCGACCTTCCCAGGAAGAGAGAAACAGTACTGCCGTCCCAGCCCTGTTCCCAGCCTGCTCTCTGAGTAGGCACAGTATCACCTCGTTGGTGGAGCTCATGAAAGATGTCTGCTGCTTTAGGGCATTTTCCAGAAAACAGGAGCTCACTGCTCAGCTGCCATCACCCAGAGCACTTTTATCCACTTTTGGTGGAAATACTGCTCAAATTCAGCTTCTCCAGGGTGGAGATTTAGTTGTCTCTATCCCTAGGGTCAGAAGGTTGTCTGGAACCGATCAGGCACTGAACATGTACTTACTAATTGAACGAGTACGTGGAAACGGTCAGGCTTGGCCGGCCTTCTGCAGAGCTGCTACAAGCCTTCCTGCGAGTCAGGAAGCCACCTCCCAGCCGCCGCCGTGGCTGCCCCGGCTGGGCTGCAGTGCAACCCGCCTGCCCTTGCAGTCGGAAGCCTCAGCTGTGCTGCCTCGGGTTCGCTCCTGCTCCTCCCGACCTTCTTTCCCCACTGCAGGTCATGGCGGCTTCTCACCTGCTTCTCTTCCCTCAGCTGCTGTCCGAGCTTGTCACTGATGGTCACATGCAGCTTCTCACCTGATACAGGCGTATAATTACTAATGAATGCGGTTAGCGAAGTGCTTTCTGCTTACATGGTGTAAAGAAGCAGGCCACGAAACATGTGGGCATTTTAAGGGCATTTCCTACAGTGCCCAAGGGTCAAACCTGTGGCCTGTGGAGGTACCGTCACAGGCTGGTCCAGTCCCCAGCCCATGAGGACTGGTGAGGGCCACACATTTCCTCATTTCCATGTTATTTTTTCATAAACACGGAGCCACTTGCTGCAATTCATCCAGTATGAGCAGCCTGTTGATGGCATTAGCCCCTCCAGACAGGGTGGATTTATCAGAAAGGGACAGCAGGCAGAAAGGAAGATGGTCTCAAAGAGCATGATGCATAAACAGAGGAAAGGGGGTGTCTCTGCTTTAGGTGAGGTGGGGGTCCCACCTGCTGGGTGCTTAGTCCAGCTTGATGCCTCAGAGCTTCCAGTCCCCCATGGTCCTTGTGTGCTCTGGGGTCCTCCAGGAAGCTGTGCCAGCAGAATTAGACACACAAAAGGCTTCTTCGGGGATGTCTGCGAGGGATAAATGGGAGAAGGAGCGCAGCAGGCAGGTGGGGTTTGGGGTGGGAGGCTCAAGCGCGGTGAAGGTCTGCCACCTGTGCAGGGAGGGCGCAGAGAGGGGAGGCCTGGGTGGGAAGAGCCTCAGACTGAGAGGCAGCGCCAGCTGGCAGGGAGCCCAGAGCAGAGGCCCCTTTAGTGAATCCCTGCACTGGGCAGGAATGGCCTGGCTCTTGTACCCCCAGAGCTGCCTGGGGACTTGCTGCCTCAGGATCAACCCTGCAGCAGATCTCAAAGCTGGGAACTGCCAGCCAACTACACTCCTTGCTGCAGGGCTCTCTGTAAGGGTGGGCTGAGCGGTGCTTGCCCGCGGCTGCTCCCTATGCGCCTGTACCCTCTCACATAGGTGTGGGGCCCTGGAAGGTGGGAGCTCGGGGCTGGCCCCTTCCCCTCCCCTCTGACCCATCCTGAACTGTCATCACGTGCCTGACCCCGGCTGTGAGCAAGCAGTCTTCTGTCCAGCCTCTCTCAGGAATTCAGGATCAAACCAGATAAAGGGCTATGGTGAGAGGGAAGAACTGGCTAATGCAAACGTAGAGGCTTCAAGAAGGTGCTAGGTAGGGAAAACCATGTCATGGTGGTCTTTTCTGGAAGGACCCACAGACCGTAGCTGAGGCACGGAGTGAGGCGAAGAGTAGGTCCTTTGACAGGAAGTGACAGGGTTGGCAGGGGCCACCCAGCCCGTGGATCTCCGTAGCACTTCCCACAGGTTTATCTGTTGTTTGCTGCAGATGAGCATGAATCCTGGGATGTGAACATATTTATTTACCTTGAAATGTGTATTTACTTATCTCAAATTTATTTATGTATTTATTTTATTCAAATCTTTACATTTTTGCATTGGAAACCTAATTTCCCCTAAAAACCTGTTCACCGTCTTCTGGGAATGTTTTGAATGCACTAGTTCTCCTGATGCACCTCCGGACACTTCCCGCAGCGGCCCCCCGGCTGGAGGTCAGAATGGTTCCACAGTAACAGTTCTTCATCACAATTCAGTGAAGAAATTAACACCATCAGAAGTTCAGGTGTGGAGACTTGCTGTTCTGGTGGAGAACAGGAGAGCCCCAAATGTTTGCTGAGCTGGTTGCTGGAGGCTGACCCACCTGGGGGTGTTCTTTGCTCTGCTGGGGCTGCAGGCTGACCAACATGGATGCATTTCCCCTTGATAGATGCAACTTGGCTTTCCAGCTCCTAATGGGGTCACCAATAGCAGAGGCAAAAGATTTGAGGGCAAGAGGGGAGAGAGAGGTTCAGAAATGGCTTTCACATCAGTCCCTGGTGCCCTGGCATCGTCCTCTCTGCCTGCATCTCAGGAGTGGTCCTCTCACTGACTCTTCCAAAGAGAACTACGAGAAGAAGCTGAAGGCATCTCCCTTCCAGTCTTGATGGAGGAAGGACTGCCAACAGAGAGCTAGTCCTTTCTGCCTCCCACGACCCAGGGCTGAGCAGTATGTGTGGTGTGATTACCTATACTGCCTTACTTCTCACAGCAACCCCTGGAGTATCGAGGCCATTTGACAAAGGGGGAAGTTGAGGCACAAACTCAGGGTCTCAGACTTTCTAGACCGCATCTGACCATATCTGTTTCCCCCTCTATGATTCTTTCATTTCCTGACTTCTCTTTGATTTCTTCAGTACAATTTCCCCATTTTTTGTATCTCTTAATAGCTAAATGGACGTAATTTTGAAATGCTGAAATTTAGTATAAAGTATTCCAATTCAGATAACCGAAATGAAAAAATAAATTTTGATCATTCATTTAATTTCACATGATTCTAAATTCTATTGTATTTGTATTAAATTGTTCAGGCTATCACAGTAGCAGTTCACAATGGACCTAGTTTTATGAGATTGTAAACAAATAATGAGGTAACATTTCTGAATTTCATGGAGACATTAGACTAAAAGTGATTGTATGAAGTTAACAGATTCAGAATATAATACAAAATGAAATATATTCATAAGAAGCCATACATATGGTCAAACTTGTCAGTAGACGTCATTCATATGTTTTGTTAGTATAATTTATTTGTTGAAATTATTTTTTAAAAATTAATTGGCTAATGAAAATTATTTTTAATACCAGGTTCTTATTTGAATGTGTTATTTATATTGAAATGAGGTTTAAATTTCCCTTTTTGTGAAATACCTTCACAGAGCTTCAACCAGGGTGTGTCCAAACCAACATAAACATGAAATGGTATCTCCCTAAAACCTTCTCTGGAAGTGTGTTTGTTTCAAGACCTATCATGTGTGAACTGAAAACTTACCACCAAAAATTGGTCACACCACAGCAAGAGGTAAGACACACTGGCTTTTAGCCCCTCTGCTAGATGTTACTACATACGATAAAACTATTTCTCTTCGTTGTAACATCTTTTTTTTCATTTTTAGTTGTGGTATTTATTAAATAAGTAAATATTTATTTATTATTATTTATTATATAAAATATGCATCACAAAAAATGTACCCTTGTAGCCATTTTCCTGTGAACTATTCCATGACAGTAAGTATCAGGTACAGTGTCCACCCCCAGCCACCCCCAGAACGTTCTCATCTTCCTCAGCTGAAATGCCATCCCCATCCTAACAATGGGTCAAAGCTTGATTCTGTTCTCTGGTGAGTCCACTTCAAATAGCCATTGAGTACAGGTCCTCACCTCTTTTGTAGATAAAATATGAACACCGGAAGTCAAGATGATGGTCCTTCAATAGGCCCAGAGGAATCCACTGAGCTCTGTAACACCCTGTCATCAGCACGCTGGCAACCGTTGTCCAACCAGCCACAATCCCTGTGGTTCTTCAGAGATCCTTCTCACTGGTCTTCATTTTTGTTTCCACAGGAACATCACGTCTTTGTCAAAGGACTTGCTGAAATGCAGCCGTGGTGCCCCTGGGATCTTGGTCCCTGAAATATAACAGACTCTCCTGATCTAACAGGTCAGTAATCTCACCTCCCACTCCTTATCTCAGATGCTTTTGGCAGGACTTTCTCTTCATGCCTGTGTGCTGGCTCTTAATCGCTGTCTGTTGCTCTTAGACATGTGTGCACAGCCTGCGTATGTCTCATGGGCTCAGTTTTTCCATCAGGGAACTTTGTCTGAGGGCCCACTGGTCTGTACTGTAAGATGACAGGTGCTCTCTCATTTTCGTCTCTGGAGACAGTGTCCAAGCAGGTGCCACCTCCCCCAGCTCAGGAGTCCTAGTGCTGCCCACTGCCTGGCACCGCCTGCCTCCTGCAGCCAGGCCCTGTCTGGTACACACCCTCCACCATAGCTGCCTTCATGGCCTCATACCCCTCGGGCAGCCTGCCAGACCATTAGGTACCTCTGGACCCTCCCAGTTTTTTTGTGATAGCATTCCTCTGGAACTTTCTGGTAGGCCCAGATGCATCTTTTCTCAACCAGCTTTGTATGCCTGACTTATTTTCATAGACCTACCACTTGCCAGGCCTTATTCTAAACCTGAATCCTCATAACAATCTTCTGAGCTAAGCGCTATTTATTACCTCCACCTTCAGATAAGGAATTGATTGCGGAAATGTTAGGTAACTTGTCCCCAAACTGGGATCACATGCAGCTGTCTGGCTCCAGAGTTCATGGTCTCAACCCTGTGCTCTGCTGGGACTCCTGAGCAAACCAGTTCTTTCTTGGCACTTACATTAAATGGCCCCTGCTCTGCATAAGTCATCTGAGGTACAGTTCTGAGCACTGCTGGCAGGGCCATGCTGCAGATGTTCGCACGTGCCGAACGGTCCTTTAATTCATCTGATTGGGACCCCATCAGCTCTCACGTGATGGAAACCCCCATTGCCTGGACAGACCACAGGTCATTTATCCCCTCATTTACTGAAGGACAGCATGGTTGCTCAGTGAGGACACCATGGTTTGACAATTAGGAATAAAACTGCTGCAAATGTCATGTGCAGGTTTTTGTGTGTTCATCAGTTTTCAACTCCTTTGGGTAAATACCAAGGGGCAGTGGATGCATTTTTTTCAACACCTAGTAACAAATGGCCGGTAGGTTGTTTGGTTCTTCATCAGGCAGAGTTCCCTGAGAAGTGAGAACATGGCAGCATCACTTCCTTATCCCCTGAGCCCTGCCACATGACGTGATTATGAAATGTGTCCCTGCCATGTGATCATTGCTGTGTTTCGCTTTGCTTGTAAAGACCTCAAAGTTTGGGCAAGGAGATAAAGCATGGATTCCTGAGGGTACAAGGGCTCTCAGCCAGCGTGGCCAGTCCAGGAGGGTGCAGATCCTGGATGGGAGCAATGGTCTGGGCTGGAGCGAGCTGGGAAGGCCTGGCCAGAGCTGGCTGGCAGAGGGCCCTGGAGGATGGGAGAGACCAGGCCTCACCATGGAGGCTGGTGCTCATGGTGGGGGTGTGCCTGGGCCATGGCCTGTAGGATTCCTTGTGGGGGGGATTTTTAAAGAAAATTGTGGGCAGGAGGGTTGCAAGCATCTGACCTCCCAAGGTGTCTATTTCCCTCCCAGATATGGCCTCTGAATGCTGCTGTTGGCCCCGGGACTAGCTGATGGGCACCAGAACCCTGCCAGTGCCCATTAGTCTGACCAGGGGCTGCCAAGCAGTGGCTATTTTCTTTTTAGGTAGATAAAGAAGGAAACCATAGAGACCAGTCTTGGAGGCCAAACTCTGCCAGGGTGGCACAGTGCTTGCCTACCACAAAGGGAGGCCTGGAGAGAGATGGCAAGGGAGGGGATGGCAGAGTAGGCACCCTAGGAATGGGAGCAGAATGGTAGGAAGTGAGGAAGAACTGCGTGGGCAAGATAGCTGCCCAGGTCAGGCGCACATCCGACATGAACGTTCAGCTATAAATGTGGATAAGTCATAAGGGTCCTTTCACATCCCTCCCTCACTGTCTTACCTCCTTTTATATTAAACATCTTTTTGTGTCATTTGATACTACTCGTCAAAATGATAGGATACAACCCAGCAATGCTGTGGCAGAAGGAACACATTGGAGCTTCATCTTTGAGACTTCCCCCCTCCCCTGGGCACGCAGAGGCCAAGCTTTCCCTGATGCACAGCCCGTGACTTAGGGCCAGGCCACTTTGCCTTCTTGTTTTCCGGTCAGTGACTAGTGAGTGGCCTGTTGCTCCTGGCCTTGGCAGTGCCCGTGTGCCATGACAAGGCTCGGTCCTGGCCCCACTGGCAGCAGGAGACGAACAGGTGTGTCCCAGGAGGGCGACACACAGGCTGGGCTCCAGACTGGCAGCTTCCCTTTGCTCTCCTCAAAGGCACTCGCTGGGCACAGCCTCTCCAGTCTCCAGGATGAAGGGGTACTGTGGGAAACGCATATTTGGGTAAAACCAAAGTGCTTCATAGTCATGAAGAAACGGCCTCTCAGACACTCTGATATGATGGATTGGATTCAGCAGGGTGACCACGGGCTGCGATGACTCCCAAGTGCTGTGTGGATGGGTCACTAACACCGGAGGCCAGTTTTGGCAGGTCAGGTCACTGGCAGTCTTGGTGTCTGGGGCCAGTGTAGCATTAGCACTTTGAACTGTATTATCAGGTTGCGGCTCCAGTGGTTCCCCTTGACCCTGTCGCTGTGTTCTGTCTCCTGCCCTACCTTTCCGAACATCTTGTTTCCCACCTAGTCTGAACCAGCCAGGCCCCCTGTTGATAACAGCCATCTGCTTCCTCGGGAGCCCTGTCACCCAGCTCCCTTGAATCATACTCATCAACTCATTTATTGTGTCTTTTCCACCAGCAAGTAACAGACATAAAGGCAGGAACTCCAGACCCAGTCGGGGCTCCATAGACACTTGCTCAAAGAAGATGAAATCACTGGCAGGCACAGTAGGGTCCCTGCAGGAACACAGGACGGGCTGTCACCCCATCAATATCAGCACAGAGATTAACAACCCATTCGAGCATTGTCACTCCTGTGCGTGGGCCTGTCTTTGGTCCAATCCTCGGATTTGGGGTTTGGCTGTTTTATCTCAGCTCAGGTCCTGGCCCTCCCTCCCAGAACGAGATGGACGGTTTCTTCTCCCTGGTTTCCTGCACTTTGAGTGAAGTTTGATTGCACGGTGAAATGGAAATTCCTGGACTGAGAAAGGTTTATATATATATACTTATAAATATATATATATATATATATATATATATATATATATGCTGAAACCAAAGGAATGGAAATAGATATGATGGTCAAATATGGACAACAGACAGTGAAATCAATTTTAATTAGGAAAAAATGTAGACAATTCAATCAAGAAGTGTAAACTAAGTCACAACGTACTTGATGTTGGCAAAAGGAGAAGTAGATTAAGAAGATTAAGAGATAGCTATATATGCAGAAATAGTTTGTTTTCTTTCTTCCCAAACTGTGCGTGTTTGTTACTTTTCTCAAGCACCCAATCAGATCCCAAATAATGAGTCCATTCCCTTGGCAACGTGTCATCAAAAATGAGAGAGATGGAGGGAAGAGTAGAATGTAACCATTATCAAATCTGTCATGACTGCTCACCTGAATGTTTTCATGCCGGGTTAGCAGGAGATGCTATGCATGCCTGTGTCTGGTAAAACCATCTGTTCATTGGAGATGATAATTCTGGAAAGGGAACAGCCTCTGATGCCATGAGCCCTTGGATTGGGGTGGTAATGACTTGGAACATTTCAAAGAAAAAGAGAGCCTTCTAGGGATAATAAGGTTATACAAAATAAAAAGATTTATTTTTATTCTGGTTTCAGAGGTGGGGAGGGGAGGGATGCTGCTGTACAAGGTTTGGAAATCCTTAAAGAGATTACGCCTAAAGGACACCTGCCTCAGGGTTCAAAAATAAAGCTGGGATAATGTCACTGGGTGAAAAAGTTTTGAGGATGTATTCAAGAGGAGCCTTACTGGAAAAAAAACAGTTTCTTTCTCTGCAAGCAAAAAGTCCAGGTGGCACAAAGGGCTTTATGTATTTGTTCTCCCTTGTATTTTAAGCCTCAATGCAGGTTTGTCTTCTCTTAGGTGCAAACAACCATATAATCACCACCATAGTCAAACAGCACCCTTCAGTAATTCCCTGCAGAGCAGAAATAAATGCAGCCAGTTTGGGATTTTGCAAAGAATGCAGATCCTAAAAGCCCTGGAGTCCTGTCCGGGCCGCAGAGCCACAAGCAGCCCAGTCACTGGTCCAGGACTTGGCGAGTACGGCAGCTCTCCGAGCTGGGCTCTGCTCTGACTGTAATTCCATTATTAAATTCAAGTTTTCTGCCTTGTTTATGCCAACACAAGGTGGCCTCAAATTAAACATAAAAAATGGTTCAACAGCATGGTGAATCTGTACACTTGCCCTCCATGCATGGGTCCCATTTGGGTACCAAATAGTGAAGGGTCTTTGGAAAGGGCCCTTTGCATTCGCTAATGGAACTTCTCTCCTGTGTAGCTGAAGTGAGAGATGAACAGGTCTGACCTCGGCTGGCTTTTCTGTGCATGCCATCTGTTAATTGCACATATTCTCACCATGTTTCCAAACACGCCCCACTTGCATGTGAGCTCACAGTGTCTTTGATGTTTCCAAGCAAGTGGTGTGAGCACAGCAGCTTCTGCCCAGGCCTTTGAGGAAGGCTGGGCTGTCTTGCCATATCCATTCCTCTCTAAGGGTGAAGCTGTGGTGAAATAGCCTGCAGACGCTGCTCAGTGGTGCTGAAAATGCAAATTAATGCATCTCAGCTGCTGACATTTATTGAGTCCTCACGGAGCACAGGGTGTGCTGAGCAATTTAGGGGTACAGACTCACTTCATCCCCTTAGCACCCTGTGTGCCACGTATCAGTTGGGATGAGGTCAGGACAACAGGGAAGTCTCGTGACAGCAGCAAAGAAGTGCTTGATCCTCAAGAGGCTGCTTAGACTTCCTGGTGGACTTGCAACCCGTCCTGGGTTGACTCTCTGCTGCCACCTTCGCTGATCCCTGACCAACTCTGAAGAGCCCATGAGAGCCTCCCATTTGTGGAATCTGACCAGAACCCATGGGCAGATGGGTGGAAATGAATCTCCAGGGTTTGCTCTTAGGGAGTAGGGAGCACTTTGAGGGCAGTGTGGTATTGGGTGGCAACACACAAGACTTGGAAGCACTGTTAGCACCATTGTACAAAGGAGAAACTGAGGCACACAGTGGTCAACCCACTTGTGACCTGTGCTAGGTGTTCCACTGGTAAGTGGGATCCAGAACCCAGGTCATCAGCTTTGTCCCCACTCCCAACCCCCGACCATACTGCCCGGTATGACAGCTGCGATGCTGAGGCTGTCAGTGGGCCACCTCGTCTGATCCTCAGGGCAGCCAGGAGGCCGGGGAGAGGCAGATACTCTGGTCGCCTGTTGTACGTCAGGAATGCCCTCGGAGGCAAGGTCTGCCTGGGCCGGCGGGCAGCTTCCCAAACAGTAGAGGTTGGCTGAACCCCGGCCTCCTGCCCTCTGGGCTTTCTCTGCAGTAGGAGGG